GAAAACTATCAAATAGGCCAGCGAGCGATAAGATACCTAAAAGTGGCAATGCAGTTTGACCACAGGTAACATTGCTGGAATCAAATGTGTCATTTTTAGTATCGATGTGCATTTATTATCTGATTAAAAAGTATCAAAAAATTCAAATTTCCATACGCAAGTACGTTCACGGCTAACCAAATAAAATCGAGAATAATTACTTACTTTGCCTTTGTAAGAAATGTAAGTAGGAATTCATTTTCCCGTAATCTTTTCGGATATTATTAATCAAAGTGTTTGCAGTATACGTCACAAACTACCTCAATATTATTAAACGTGACTTAACCCTTGAATAATGTATACTAACATAATAGCCCAACTCCAACCAACCAATCCTCTACAGTTAACATAAAAGCAACAACCCGAACCAAGTATAACATACGTATAACGGAAACTAACCTTGGTCTCGGCATGTGTTCGCTATGATCCGACAAAGATTATGCAAGTTTGCAAATAGTTGATAGAGTTGACGGGCTTGCACTTAGTCGTAAGTTGGAATAATTGAAAACTGTGAAAGTTTGGGGGTTGCGGACCAACGCTCTTAGTGCATTCGTGGATTTAACGATTAGTAGACTTCTATAATTAATTTAGCATTTTGGTTATTTGAAGAAGGGTTTATTTGCATTTTATGTTAGTTTGAAGAGAATTTTGTACTTAACTGGAAGAAGGGCAAGGCCGCGTAATGGTATGGCTGCAATGCCACATGGCAGCCTAGATCTATCTGGGTTCTCGAGACTTCCTTGCTAGGGTGTACCTGAGTTCCTTGCAGTAGACTTACATGTGACAGAACACCATCTGGTTTTAGTCAGTATGATTCCGACGTACCACTTCACTAACTTCGATGAGATGATACCCCGCGAGGAGTTCAACACGATTTAAATACAGTTTAAAATATTAATTAGTTGAACGTGAATATTCAGGTAATGCAAAAATTTAACTTATTTTTATGGAAAGTTCCACCTCACCACAGCTAAAAATTTACCAACAGCATACATACACTGCACTCTTATAAAATATTTCCACAAAATATCATACCTGGTAAGCATGCCCGTTACAGGTACACACAACATCCACCACAATAAATAATACCTGACATTGCAATGTTACGAGTGAAATAATACAATAACTAAATGAAACTTAAAACTACTAAAATCTGGATAACATATAAGGTTACTCCACTGACAATATTTTTATATATGAATAACACAATAAAAAGTATAAAAAAATAAAGTAAAATAAAATGAAACGTTAAAATTGGTTTGTACTTTACACTATTGTCCTTCTAAATTTATTGAGAGAGACATGGATGTATATGCCTGTCAGTGAGCAGATGCCATTGTATTGTCTACATACTCTTGTCAGAGGTGCGTTTAAACCTAGATCAGTTTTACGGGATGGAATGCGAAATTTTCTGGTGATGCCATATCTTGGCGATTTCGAAGGGACAGAAAAAAGATGCGTTCCGTTAGATCACTACATTTTATTGAACCATTTACTATTTTGTGATGAAATACAAGATCATTGACGCGGCGACGGTTACGAAGAGAATTCATATTAAAATGTTGTAAACGGTGCTCATAGGGGCAGCGATGCGTGATGTTTTGTGAAATGTAAGCAAGATGCCTGGAAAAGGCTCTTTGTATACTTTGTGAAAAGACAGCAGAAAAATTAAGTAGTATGTAGAACTCGAACTGACTAAAACCTCAAACGGTTCCATCACACTATTGCAGAGAATCTGCGATATGGTAAGAAAAATACTCCCAGAACCCTTGAAGACTTAGGCCGCCTGTTTATGTATTATTAAACAAGAAAGACTCAAGTTCAAGTTTCTAACAATCTCATTTATAACGTCTATTAATTTTAGCTTTCAATTTATGTTTAATCGGATTAGTTTCTCTCTAATAAATTATATCTCAATTGCGCATTAAGAGCCATTACTTACTAAATTTACTTTGCAGATGTTTTATCATTTTTCTGTTTATATTTTAGTTCGTAGAATATGACAACATTATTGAGTCCTGCCATTTTGCCATTTCATTTAGTATAGCATCTATTATTTTGATGTTTTGATTTTATTTAAATTTGGTATAGGTATTTAAATGTACAACCCTTTAAGGTGTTCTTAATATATAATTAAAACTGCTGTATTCAGATGACCCAGATTTGAGTTCCGCTGTTTCTTGTTCATACCTATACCTTAAACATTTAAATATATCATTACTAGCTATTCGCTTGCGTGATGATTATCATGATTACTTCTTATTTCATGTTTCTTACTTTGAAAATGACCAACTTCCATACAACAGTTAATTAACCCTTATTTTATCCCCTCGTGGGTGAAATTACCAAAAATCCTTTCTTAGGGGTGCTTACAATAAAAAAGCATAAGCGGCCCAGAGTTTCAAGTTTGTAGCATCAGTGCTTTAGGCTTTAAACTGAAGAATCAGTCAGTCTGTCGGGGCAAGTAATTTTACATGTATTTTTTACAGGGTCACCTGATAGAAAGTGACCATCGCCACTCATGAACGTCTGCAATTCAGGAGTCACAAACGCGTTGTCGGCCTTTTAGGAAGGAGTACGGTCTTTTCTCGAAGGTTTGTAGATCGTATCGGTCTGGAAATACAGCAGACTATAAACCATTACACAGATTGGTTGCGCGAGGCAAAAAGCGTCTCAAAAGTGCGAGGCAAAAAAACTAAACACTTTAAAACACTTTTTAATATCAAAATATTATATAAATCGTGTATACATTGAGGTATAATAATGTCGTATAATAAAAACATTGAGCAATATAATGTTAGATTCCCATACTTCAAAGTATATTACAAATAATTTCTAGTACCTTTCGTCTCTTAACTATCTAGGATTTTGTTCAAACATTTTTAAGTTTGAAAAAATAAAGTCATTTTTAGAGCTGATTGTCAAAAAGTATAATTCTCTTCCATAAAAAAAACAATAGCTTATCCTGTGTATTTATGTTTAACATGCTCTACTACTAACTATATATCTTTTGGTCCAGGAAAAATATCGTATAGTTACGATACGAATCACCATCTAAACTTACCGTAAATAATATGTATGATCATTATCTTTACATGGCTATGATGTGATTCATAATTTCTATCACCTATATCTATATCTTCATGTGTATCACAATAAAATATTTATATGCAATATTATAATATTTTTGAACCTCTTAGTTTCTAAGTTTGAAGAAATGTTATAGCAAAGATCAAACAATAAAACGATAATTTCTCTGAATCGATACAACTCGCGATACAAAGCGCATCTAATACAGGCTTGCTATTTATTCTACATTGAATTCAACTTTTAGCCAAGAAATAACATTTGCATATTTTTAGTCGTCAATGTCCATTGAAGATGTAAGATGGTTAGTTCTGTAAAAAGGGTTTATTTTTCATAGGATTTGGTTATTGCAAGACCTTGTAAGACAAACTAAAGGGTAATGTAAAATTTTATAGACAATTCTTAGGCCAAATTATTTCAGTTTCGTTTTAAGATTATTTTGAACAGTTTGTGACAAGATATTCTTATTCAAAAATAAACCATGAAATCCCACAAATATTTTATAGTACAACATAACAAGAAAAATAAGAAATCTAAGCACTATTTTCACTGCATTTAGTTCTAATTCTAAATAATATCCTTGTGGTGACGGATTAAGAATACAGAGTCGTCTACGTATAAAACATCGTTAACCTCACATAAGGCTTTAAGTAATTTTGTCAGTAGTGATCAAATAATTTTCGAAAAGCCATGCTTAAATTTATACTTATTACAAAACTATTTTACAAAATAAATATACGTAGACATAATTGTGTATAAATGTGTATTTACTACTAAATTGTAACTAATAAATAAATTTATTTACACATTATTTTACAGTCCATGCTATAAGCAGGGTAATATTCAAACAAGTGCTAAAACATAATATTTTATAGCGGAAAAATTATATAGCGTCTTCGATTTAGAACGGTAACATTTTTTGTAACCTCGAAAGTATCGTATTTACAGCATCGACAATATACACAAAACAGCAAAAAACTGCATTTAATTTTACACCCTAATTTTACACGTGAATAAGATTCAAAACCGCGTGAACCTATCAATCATTACATATAAAAAAATATAGCCAATATACATCTTGTAATTTATGTAATAAAAACGTTAGAAATTTCCTTACCTTCGCGAAATTACGACTTTTTTATTTAGGGTTTATAACAAGCTTAATGGTTCGTTTGTGTGATAAACGCGACACATATGAAGAATGAATGAATGATGAAGAACCATAAGTAGAGATTAATTATTTTTTTCAGTTATTTATAAAACATAAAATATAAATAATGCCTCTATATAATCTAAATTTATTTAGGTTGTTTAGAGGCATCAGGGATATTACCAACAGAGTTACCGTAAATTTATTTTGTCAGCTATCACATTTTGAAAGCTGACGTTAAAATTTTTTGTTATACTAATTAAGGTACCATAACTATAGAAATAAGTTATGAAATTTTTACAAGGGACACTTTTTTTAATCTTCGCGTTGAGGTTGAAAATCGCTGGATGGCGCTGTAACAGTTTTGAAAATAGCGTAGTCCTCAAAAGTATATTCTTAATTAAATTTAAACTGACACGAATTCAAATTTCACTAATATAAAAACATGTTCTTTTAAAAGAACAAAATATAGTTTTATATAAAAATTATGTTTGTATAGCATAATTTTTGTATAAATCTATATGAAAAACTATCTATAATATATTTACAAAAAATGCCTACAACCTTAAATAAAAACCTGTTTTAATTTACGTAACGTACGAGTATACCGTATTACACCTCTAATTACGGATTACATACGAATCGTGTATAAAATTATATAAAAAAAATACCATATAAATATCACATAGTGATTAACAATACGCTACTATAATCTAACACTACGCTACGAATCTAACTTAGATTGACTAGTATTTCTTGATGATTCCGCCGATTCATTTTTCGTAGCATTGTCACTTAGGACTGGACGAGCTGAAAAGAATAGAAAAATGGTTATTTAACAAGTCAAAAGCATCAAATGTGTTGCCACCCTTTGAGTCTCCCCAAAAACTATGGAGAGGCGGAATTTAGCCTCCGTCAATCGGTGAAAAGCAACGAAAAACTTGCCTAACGTTAGCTGTGCACACAGGTGTGCACAGGTGCACCAGGGACTTCCTTTCTAGGGTATACCTGGTTCCCCGGCTATAAGTACCCGAGACGGCGTGCGGTTTTAGTCGGTTCGTGTCCGACATGCCACCGATAGGTGGTATCCGAGGGGATTTCCGAACGGAAAAAAAAAAAAAGAGGTGTGCACAGGTACCTATAGTCAAGTCGACCTCACTCGACGTAGACAGGAGTATGCGCGTATATGCAGTGTATGGATGTAACTCACACACTAAAAGGCATGCGTGCCGTGTGCCCCGCCCCCGCCCTCCTTTACGTCCCGCTGCTGCCTATTATTGTGTTCTGTGCATCGAAACGAACGATGTTCCGATCCACCATTAAGTTTGCATCGGACTGTACTATTTTACAAAATAATGATTTGAATCCAAACCATTTACATGCCAGCCAGTTACTGACGCGATGTAGTTATACTCGTAATGTACATAAAATCTTTCAAAATAATTTCCTATTACAGTATGCAAAAATAGTTGACCTATAATAAATTTATGCTAACAAGATTCGAATAAACTAAGCGGGCTCGACGAACTAGTTACTTTTGCATGATGGAACGAAAGCTGATCTACGAGTGCCTATATTAACTTAACAAAGGTTTTTTTATATTTTTTGTTGCTGGTCTGTAAAGTATCATTATATTCTAGGACTCATCTAGACCCAAACATAACACTGTAAATTTAAGTACATTATTGTGTTTTATAAGTGAAATTATACCTGGATGATCGATTACGTACTTTAAAAAAAGACTTTTTTGTGATTTAATTACAAATGTATAGTTTTAAGATTTTTCCTGCCTTGCCAAATTTCATAGTTTTAGTTCAACGGGAAGCAATTAAGATTTTTGATTTCTGTCGAAAATTCATAGGTGTTTTTGCAACATAAACGGCCGTTCTTTTTACATTAACTAAAAAGTTGGGTTTTATATATATTTATAATATTTAATATTTTATCTTTTTAATTTTAACATGATACCTCATCGACTTTTCTATTTTTTGAAAAAAATGACAGCAAATCAACCGCGATTGCTGCTAGGTTTTTAGTCCTCATTGTTAGTATTGTTTGAAGTCGGTTCAACTTTTTTTTAAAAGGATGTCTTTTAATTTATAATGAATAAGTTGTAAGCTCTAAAACTATTTAACTATAGTATAGATAAATTATTAAATTTAAAAACTTTAAATTAAAGAATAAAACAATAACTCTCTTGAATAAAATCATTATTGCTAAAGATACAATTATAATTGTAATAAATTGTTAAATATTTCTTTGAATAAGTCTTTATTAGGGTACCTAGATCAAGGCTATTTATTATAATTTATTTCATTAGTTTCATAAAGTCTTTAAATAGCTTTTATGGAGATTTATCGAATACAACAAAATATTCGTTTCTGGATTAAGCTAGAACATTAAACTCTCCAATAGCAAGTGTGGCAACTTTTGTGGCGTGATTCTAGTATTATTAGTTGCTAATGATATGTTCTGTATAAGTTTTATGACCAATTTTTAATAAAATAGTACTGATTACTACTTATAGATGTTAGTGAAAGTAAAAATTAGAAAAAAGAAAGACTAATTCTGAGCCTATTCGCATAGCTTAAATCGATTGATTAAATTTAAACGTAGTATTATCTGTACTGACCCATAACAAACATTTTAGACATGTTGACATTTGAAGCTCTTTTGGTTTAGCTTAAATTTGAGATAAAAGTCGTTGATGGCAATCAAAGTATATCAAATTTCCTAAAAATAATCTGCTTGAGGCTTTATCCGATTGCGCATGCAGGATATTGCTTGGCGTATATCATCATAAAAAGATATTGTCTTACAATTTACTAAAACCTAAACTGGCGTAACAAAGGATGCTTTGCTTTTATAATGCTAATCAAAAACTAACTATTCATCATATGAAATGAAATTTCAAAGCCACAATAAAGAGAACACAGCCTATAAAACTCAAATACCTTCTAAATGTATAAATTTAGCGCTCCTTTCCAACTCTAGCGATATGACATTAAAGGCAATGTTCAAAAATATTACTAAAGACTTTTTTTGAGACGATATTTTATTAAGTTCTAAAATCTTGAAGACAAAACTTGGTTTTTAAATCCTTTTACTCAAATCCGTTGATAATGCTCGTGTGATTGAAGTTCCAGATTTGTTAGAATGATTTTAATAAAGTTATAAGTACTACAATTGATCTAACTAAAGTGGGTCTTTATAAACTTGAAAAAGAAAATATTAAATTATTGTGTTGAATAGGTTATTATTTGCCAGGAATGACATTTATTGAAGCAAAGTTCTTGTTTTCTTACCCGTCAATAGGCAATCATAAAATGGAGGATTTAATCAATTATCAGATAATATGATTAACACCAGGCAATATCCGTCACACACAATTGGATAGCTTCTGAAGCAGATTAGTTTAGAACGTTTTGTTTTAGACTAATCTACGTTCTGATTTCAAATTGACATACCGAACACCCAGACTCAAGACAACAATTTCTGGATCACACAAAGTGTTGTCCCATGTGGGAATCGAACCCACCATACTCAGCGCAGTAGGAAGCGGCGGGGTGAACGCATAAACCGCTACGCATCCCTGCAGTCAGATAGCAAGTACCATATTTACAACATGGTCATTGTACAAAAGATTAAAACACGAACGAAGAAGATATTTACTATATATTTTAAATACTTACCAAACATTCTAAGTAAAATTTTTTCGATGCCATGTAAAGGTGACTCGAAAGTCAAACATAGAAACAGGGCAAGTAAGAAGGTCAGAACTACATGTGATACTCCTGTTGCCATCTGAAAAAATATGTTTAATACTAATTAAAAAGAAATTACACAATTAAGGGTTAAATGGATGCAGAAAAGGAACCTACTTTTGGTTTATTAACCCGTTCAAAGGTAACAATTAAGGATCAACTTCAGTACTGAAATGTTTATTCCAGGTCTATTACATGGAATAAACATTTCGTAATAAGTATTTATTTACTAGGAGTATCAAGTACTTCTAAAGTACTAGTATATTGCACAAGATTGCGATGGAAGGAAGTGCCCCTCTTCTCATCATTATCAATCATCAACAGCCTATAACTGTCCACTGCTGGACATAGGCCTCTCCTTAGAAAGGAGGAAACCTCCCCTCTTCTGTACATGTGTTTAATTTTATGGTATTTATCGTAACCTTTTTAGACATAGGATATTGAAAAGCACTTGTGCTTTTCCCTTCGGGGATATAGGTGAAAGAGTATATATTTATATTAAGGAATAATAATTCTGCAGCGAGCCATCAACGCTTAGTATTTGCAAACCGAGAATAAGTTCTGCCGGTTTTTCATTCGCTATTAATATTTAAAATACTTAAAATTACAAGGCTTTGGAGTAGAAAGAATTAAGGAACATATTAATACCGCCGAAAGCGTTTAACTCCAAAGCTATCATCAAAAGAACCACATAAATGTTCACGAAAATCCCATAAGGATTGTAATTACACGAAGATTTTCGTTTTTTTTTTTCCTGTTTGACAAGGTTAAACATTCTTTTATATCAAAAGTGCTCTTTAATTAGACACGAAATCTTCTTAGTAAATACACTAGCTATCTTAGAAGTGTGCTAATTAAAGATGGTATTTAATAAAAAATACCGACCTATGAATTTACAGGCTGTGTATATAATTACAAAGGGAATAACAATGGGGCTTAATTAATCTCAAATCCTTAAAAAATACTCAACTGTTACCTGAGGGCTACTACTGCACGAAAATAGAACAGAGTTTCTATGAAGTAATTTGAGACTTGATGCTTAAATTGATTACTTTACTTAGCAAGTTACTAATTTGTGTCAGTATATTTTAAATGAGTGTTTGTTTATTTTAAAGACAACTCCCGCATTTGGAATATATCCTGTGTCGCGGTTGGCATTACAAACATACGTGAAACTGTCACAAAGAACACCCAGACTGACAACAACAATTTGTGAATCACACAAAGTGTTGGCCCATATGGGAAACGTACGCACAACACTCAGCGCAATACGAAGCGACCGCTTCAATCGTTTTGCCATCCGTGCAGTCCAACATTTGTTATGTTGTTATGCTTTTATGTAGTAAGTATTTATATACCCGATATATGCCGATTTTGGCATATTTATATATATATATAAATATGCCAAAATAGATAGATATGTGTTAACTCTTAAAATGTACACGTAGATTTAATACAACACACAATGGACCACCTACTCACCCAGATCTCTTTCAGATCGTCTTTCAATGGATGAAATCGATATTGCGTACGGCCGTTACGTTACGTTAATTTATATATATTATAGTAAATTGTTGATTACTCTTGCTTAGACTGAATTTGATAACATGTTATAGACACCATGTGTTTATTTTATTAGTATTGAACTTTGAGAACAGTTCGGAAAAGTAACATAGCAATCCGCCTTAAGACTTAGAAAAAAACACTAAATTTTTTTGGCGGTCTGTCTGTCTGTCTGTCTGTTTGTCCGGGTAATCTTCTAAACGGCTGGACCGATTTTGATAATATTTTACTACCAGATAGCTGTTTATATAAGGAGCAACTTAGGGTATTTTGCCTCTCAGAAAAACCCTTTAATATTTTGCCCGGTCCGGGAATGCAACCCACCCAGGCAGCGCTTTTCAAATTCCACACAAGCAGTCGTGGGTACCAGCTGGTTATATTATATACTCCAAGTTTATGTTTTGAAGTCTGAGTTTCCAAGCTTTACAAATATATCTGAATACTCACATCTATATACCCTAAAGAGTACGCAGACGTACTAAATGCATTTTTTTATTTACGATTTTTTTTTCTATGACGTTAGCCTAATGCAATAGGTTTTAAAAAGTTTTATATAGATTAATGTATAGAATAAAATACTCACTACTGTAAAGAAAGTAATGTGTAAAGGATGTCTCAATTCTCCCACATAGTACAATTCGACTATTCCATTCACTAAGTAGGCACAAAATGTCAGTCTTGAAAACGGTGCTAGGAACTTCCACGTCAGTAATCTTCCTAGAATACCTGAAATGTGACAAATTATATTAACTCAACTTAACGAAAAGAAAATCAATGACTACTAAATTAAATTAGTAAATTAAAAGTATGTTTGATTAAGCATTGTTTAAAAAACAACAAAAACAGTGTTTTTCAGTCACAGCAATCTAAAGAACGGTTTTGTACAAGGTGTACCTCGGATACCACCTGTCGGTGGCATGTCGGACTCGAAGCGACTAAAACCGCACGCCGTCTCGGGTACTAATAGCCGGGGAACCAGGTATACCCTAGAAAGGAAGTCAGTGGTGCCCCGACATACCTCGGGTCATCTACAGACGAGTAGACGACCCCCCCCCCCCCTCGTGTGGGAACCCCATGTTCCCTGTACTCCCTGGAAGCGAGCGCGCTTCGCAACGCGCTCGCCGCCACCCCGGTGTACAAGGTGTACCTAAGCTCATTACACAACTTCTGGCACATTGCCTGTCAATACCGATAAATAGTAGGAAAATTTTCATTGATAGATTTTTTTGTTAAACTATTAGGTTTTCTATTAATGCAATTGCACTTACTGAAAGTATACAAATAAAAAACAGTTGTACCAACGGTAAAATCATAAGTTACTTTCCAAAATGTAAACAATCATAGTTTCACAAAATTGTATGGTGTTAAGTTGAAACATAAAAATACTAAAGAATATCATTAAAACTTATATATAGATTACCTCCATTTCCTGTAGCACAGGCAATAATGAGCCACCCATTGACGATACCCCAGGCAAGTTTGTGCAACGAAATATAGACGGCAGCTTCCAGTTCACTGTATTGATACCACTCTTGGTAGAAAATAGTCACCGAAAAGGTTGTGACGGAGCCAAGAATGACGCTGATGATCCAAGCAAACGTCTTCATGAGGTAAGAAAATTGATAGCTATAACAGAAAATGTGCAATATAAATCTATCGGCTGTATGAAATAAGGTCTAAATAGAAAATTTATCTGTAGTTGGTGTCAATACTTTGCGGGCAAGGCGCCAGGAGGGGTCTGGATGTCATAACAATAGCAGTTCCTGTATCCCTCCCATTACAGGCGTAAAGTGGCACACCGTGTGGTTTTAATCTGTCCCATTCCAACACACTCGGTGGGGTGACAGCCCAAGACGGTGCGAGGTGTTTTTTTAACGTTTTTAAGTGTTTTTTTTTAACGTTTTACACGTTAATAAAAAAAAAAAAGTTTTGCCTCGCACAACCAATCTGGGGAACTGGTTATCGTCTGCGGTATTTCCGGACTGATACGATCTTCAAACGTTTAAGAAAAGAGCGTACTCTTTTCTAAAAGGCAGGCAACGCGTTTGTGACTCCTGATTTGCAGACGTTTATGGGCGGCGATGGTCACTTTCTATCAGGTCTGCTGGTCTGCCCCCTCTATCATACAAAAAATAATTCGTTTGTAAAAGCTGAGAAATCAAAACTTACTTTTCCGTTTGTATTCGATGCAATATATATCCTGTAAGGATCCCCATGAAATAAATAATCATTTTCATATGAGTCTTGATATACGCTTCATTGAAATAAAAGTTTGAAATTATATCCGTAAACTCTCTGGAAAAAATAAAATCTTTTTAAAATAGGATTTCTTTCCTTTTATATAATTAAAATTGAATTGCTTTTTTTTAGTAATTTAAATAATATTGGTCTAATACAGAATGTTACAGAAAAGTGCGGTGATATATTTTGGTGGAAAAATATACTCGGTAATTAACGTGTCCTGCTGACAATTTTAGGGAATTATTCAGGAATTTTATTTTGAAACCGACAACTTGAACCTGAAAATTTACTATTTATCAGTCAATTTTTAGGTTCTACTTGTTTTTTAATATTTTAAAGAGGAAAGAATAAATAGATAAATAGAGCGGTAGAGGGTATTTAATACTAAAAGTTACATGAAATAATAAAATAACTAATTCATTGAAATCGGCATGATCATTGAAATCAACTTTGATAATATGTACCTTCACCTGGAAAAGCACTTTCTGAATATATATATATTTTTGAGCTAAATGTATTTAGATACACATAACGTCTTTAAACTTCCACCACAACTTTCTGTAATAATATGTATGTATATGTATTTAATTTCTGTAATAATATGTATGTATGTAATATGTATGTATCAAACAAGTATAACTAATTCAACTAGTTTAATTTTGACATGAAAAAATCATTTTGCGAACTCAAAACCATTACTTACTTTGCATAAAACAAAAGTGTTGGATCTAATTTATCTCTGTAAGTGATCAGGGATGGAATTATAAGTGAGATGATGATGGCAACTGAGATGAGAGCTGGACCGAACTTCCGCCACTTCCATAAACTGTAGATGAAGATTGGAGCAATGAAAAATAGTTGGGTATCTACGGATAGATACCAAGACTGGAACATGCACTGGAAAATCAAATATGAAAGAAATTATTTCCAAAAAACTTCATAAAATTTATACTGTAGCAACACATTCGTTGCCTGTCTAGTCAAATCAGTTCACGGTTTAAATAAACGTCAAAGCGTTATGTTAAACGTCTAAAAGCTATGACGTCATACATAATTGCTTTTGTTTTGTTAACGTGTAAACATAAGTGAGAAACAGTAATTAATATTATTTTTAACAGACTTTTGCACTGAAGTTAGAATTGCCTGAAAGTTAGAATGCAATACATATTAAATTCACTCACTTTGAGATTTAAAATAACATGGAACTCTTTCCACGCAATCTAAATGTTCAAAGCCACGTGAGAAAGTAGAGATACCAAAAGAATTTATTAAATACTAGCTGGTAAAATTTGAAAAAACGCTACATTAGTGGATCCGATTCCCGGGCTGGTCAAAATTTTATAGGGCTTTTGTGAGATGAAAAACAGCCCAAGTTACTCCTTACACAGACAGCTATCTGGTAGCCGTTAGAAGCCGTTTAGAAGATTAGATATAGATAACAAACAGACAGGCAGACTTGTTTTAAGCATATCTTCAAGGTATCTTGCAAATAACCGTGTGAGCATGAAAAAACCCTATTATTTTGACATTACAAACAGACGCTTCAATTTAATTTTTTTGTATAGATAATAAGATTTTAAGCTTACCATCTTGTCAGTGTTCACATAATTGTTTATGTATAACAAGTTTGTCCACCAGGAATCCATGCATCGTTGTTGTTCTAACAACAATCTATCCTGCCATAAAGGACCTTCACCGATTTTTGGTAACCACGTCATGTAGAAGAGTATCACCACCAAGTATGCGGGAGTCACTCTGAAATATTTAAGGATACATTTTAATTACCAAGTTTAGTTCTACAAAAGGGAAATCGTTATCTTGGTCAATGATGCTATTCAAAAAATAATTTATGATCCAGACTTCAATAAGCTTAAATTATGATAATTTTTAATAAACTCTATTCTTCATCTCGTAATATTCCACTCATAGATTGAAATTATTGTCTTAAAGTTACAATGCCATCGGCCAGGAGACCCGCCGCCTCGGGATCCCTCATGTTGGATAGCAGTTTATTCAAAAACACTTACGCGTTAATACACTAATCTAGACGCGCACACACACACACACACACACGCGCGCGCGCGCGCGCTCACACACGTACACATAAACGAGTGACATACGAGAAATTGGCAACAAATTCCTCCTCACATCATTTACGGGCTGTAAAACAGGCCGAATAGAGCTTTTTAATCACCTTGGCATTTTAAAATGCGAATATTATTTTTACTTTATTTCAAAGGAAATTTATGGTATATACGTATATTGTTTTAGAAATAGACAACACAGTGTGCTATCTAATATGTTTAATATTGTTATCATTCATCATATATACAGAGAAAATATTTACGTAACTTTCATATAAACATGTACCAATCTAGGGGAGAAATTGACAAACACAAATTTTAATCAAATACAAAGCTTAAAATAGAAATAGAGTTGTCGTAGATATTAAAAAAAGTACTATGACAATACGTTACATAAAGTTAACGAGGGCTCTGCACCGTAGTTGCCATGGCAACCACAAAATAAATTTATCTCTTGCTAATAACAAGCTCTTACCCAATAAACTACTATACACAATGAACGGCGCACCCTTTGTAGTGTGGAATAAGCCTTATTAACTGAAAGGACTGGGGTTTTTATGAATGGTACGAATGCATTTCAGGACTCAGGACTTTAACAAGACCAGATATTATGTACACGCTACATAATATCTGGTCTTGTTAAAGTTTTTCTACAATACTTTGTATTGAAAATCCTTCTGATTTTTAATTAATCACCTTGCAAATTATAGTACGAGTACATACCCAAAAACGTAATTTCAACCTTATTAATTCGTATCTGGATTATAAATCAGTGGTGTTTTTCAAAGGAGGAAAGAAGGAAAAAAAACAATGCATTACCGTGAACACATACATTTTTTATAACAGTTTGAAATCAGTTATATGCAAGGACACTGAATTAATTAACGTATAACTTTATTTAAGGCCCATTACAGTACTAAACAATACGTTCAGTAGCTCATAAGTACTAAAATAGTCAGTTTTGTTAAAGATTTAAACAGGTACAGGTAGGCTTTGCTATGACTTGTATGAAATAAATAATAACATGTGATGTCAATTTTAAACCTCCTTTCTAAGGCGAGGCCTATGTCCAGCAGTGGACTAGTATAGGCTGTTGATGATGATGTCAATTTTGCAATCGCAAAATTTAACCGACTTCAAAAAGCACATTCTCAATATGCTGTATTTTTTTGTCGCTACAGAACTCGATTTGAAAAAATCTTTTTTTTTTATTAGGAGGATTCACTTTCCGAATCATCCCATTGAAATTTGAAGAAAAAATATCACACCTAATGGTGAAAAATTAAAAAATTACGAATACAGTTTATAACAAAACTTATCCTCAGCCCATTTCAATCAGTATTTAGACCTGGTCATAGCACAGTTACAGCTATGCTTAAAATGACCAGCGATATTAGGAATGGGGTGAAAGACGCAAAAGTCTGTCCTGGTCCTGATTGACTTTTCCAACGACCTTCAAATTTATTTACAGACCGGCCTCGATAATTTAGCAGAAGCAGTCGAAAAACTGGTCTGAGCGGTTTGGTGTAAGTGTGAATACCTCCAAGTGTCAGTTCATAATCATAGGTAGCCCCAGAATGATGAGCAGATTAGACACATCAAAACTACCGGCGATCGTTTACAACGGATCCGACATACCAATCAGTTAATTTGTCAAAGAGCTTGACTTATGGATTGAATCCAGCCTCACTTGGCAACCACAAGTTAAGAAGCAAACGTTAAAGTTAAAACACAAAACCACAAGCGAACGTAAGTAAAAAAGTCACTAGAACCTTGCGATCACTGTATCGGCTAAAAAACTTCCTTTCACATACTACCAAATTAATGCTTGTACAGGCTTTGATCTTTCCAATCATCGATTATGGTGATGTATGCTACCTCGACCTGAATGCAGATCTACTCAACAAACTTGATCGTCTTCTCAATAATTGCATTCGATTCATCTTCAACCTCCGCAAGTATGACCAATCCCAGCTATCATGGTTACCTATACGTCAGCGCCGTAGCTTGGGGGCCTTGACTACCCTTTATTCTCTTCTTAACAATTCTACTACTTATCTTACTTCACAGCTTAAACCACTATGCTCCAACCCTGACAGAGATCTTCAAGCCACTAATAATCTTTTACTCTTGTGTCCAATACACACTTCTTCTCTTGTTCATTCTTCATTTGCTGTCCTATCTATCCTACTATGGAATGCGCTCCCACTTGAGATCAGGATGTCAGGAAAAGCTAAAGTGTTCAAAGCTAAAGTCCGAGAATTCTGCAGGAAACAGCTAGCAGAAATATCCTCATGATTTCGTCCCCTCAGACATTATTGTGTTTACTTTATTCCGTATGTACATATAATATATATTAATACTTATTTATGTATTCGTCTATGTATTTTAAATAGTATTTTCAAATGAATGTTATATTTTCATAGTTTCTTCTTTTTATATAATATCTTAAGGTTGACTGGTAGATAATGAAATGTGGCATTAAGTCCGCCTCGTGCAAGTTGTAATGCATTACTGCATTACAACGTGTAAAAAAAAATGTAGTCGCAAGGAAGTCGGTAATACTTTTTTTTAAAGTTCAATATTGTTAACAATTTATTTACAAAATAAACTTGAAAATAATATTGAAGTTTTTACTTGTACTTGATGTTTTTTTGCCACAAGCAACCTAATTTCATCCAACCATATTTCATGTCATCTAAACACTCTTTACATTGACATTTTTTAAACTCTATTAAGCAGATGAACATATTTTTCTTACCTGATATATCGGAATACCAAAATAGGTATAACATTAAGCTTGCCTCTTCTCTTATCCAGCTCAATAAGAAGTAATCTTGAGAAGAGGAAAGCACTCAGCATTAGAAAAGTGTCGACCAGCAATGTGTTATTTAACATGAAGGCATTGGCTGGCGCTCGAACTAACTGTAACACATGAAAAAAATTGTCATTTACAGCTATCCAACCTCCTTCATATTTTTTTTTTACTTTTGCTTGCAAAAAGGCGGGAGCCGAATTCTTCTTCAAAATAAACCGAAACAAGTCAACAAACAGAACATAAATAAGTGTTCCTTGTGTACTAACTACTCGTAAGTGAGGATTACATTGCGATTGCGGTGTTTGCCGTACTCACTATTGTAACGGCTTTGTTGTTAATATGATGTTTGCTCCGGCCGTTGAATTGCTACAAAAGGGAACTTGCTTCAAACAAACCTATATTTCAAGCAGTGATTAAATTTCTTTATTTTTCTCAAACTACAATATAAGCGTATTAAAAATATTAAACATCGTGTAAACATTTACATTTAGTAGTGAGAGATAAAAACTATAGGGTACAACCATTGAGTCACATAATTGTTGCTTCTTAAAAGTCGCATTGAGTACAGTGGAATGGATAATGTTATCAAAGCTTAAACCACAATGGCGATACAAGCGGTTAAAATGCCAGTAATAATTTATCTTATCTTTTCCTCGTAAATTAAAAAAAAACAGGTTAGAGAAGGCCGTGTATTCTTCAGTACAAAAGTCGCATTGAGTACAGTGCCATGGTAAATAGACATTAAGTATCATTGCCCTAATCTACGGAATTGGTGTTTAAGCTTTGATAACATTATCCATTCCTCCTTAAACGAGATAATTAAATTGCCTCTTCTAACCAAAAGAATAACTATTCTGTCTAGTCTTCTGTTTTGGAGTCTAGATACTAAACTCTTATATGCACAGTATATGTAACTTATATGTATGTGTTAAAGGTTTTATAAATATTTATCAAATCTATACTAATATTAAAAAGCTGAAAAATGTGTTTGTTTGTTTATTACCAAGTGTAAACCAATCACACCACTACCAATGTAAACCGAGCATTAATTAAAAATGTTTCAGAAACGGGGAAAATTTACTGCACGGATGGCGTAGTGGTTTAAGCGGTCGCCACGCCGCTTCCTACTACGCCGAGTGTTGTGGGTTCAAACCCCACATGGGACGACACTTTGTGTGATCCACAAATTGTTGTTCTGAGTCTGGGTGTTCTTTGTGTCCGTTTCATATATGTTTGTAAAGTCCCCCGCGACACAGGATTTATTCCTAATGCGGGAGTTGTCTTTTTAAAAACAAAAAAAAAAAATTTATTCCTTCTGAAAGAAGCAGCACAAGTTTACGAAAAAATCAAATTATTATCTTACCCTGTCCCAAGCATCAGCATCCATAACTGGACCACTCGCAATGAACATACAAGCATGTCCAGCAATGATAAATATCATGCCCAGAGTTTTGATCCCCGTGATACACTCCAACCCCAGGGTGTTGTGTTGTTTTGTTGATATAATTTTTTTCATGTTGTTGATGATGGAGAAAGAGATGATAAGTGACTGGGTAACGGACTCCTTACTTTTACCACAGTAGATGATGTAGATTTCGAAAAGTGTGCTGAATAATAAGATGGTGATGAAGAGAAGAATAACAGACCTGAAAATAAGAAAAAATACATTATGTATTACGTTTACGTTTATCGTTTGAATACTTGGATAGTTACCCCGATTGCTAAGACAGAGGTTTGGTGTCTAGGTTTGATTCCCACCCAAAATAAATAATTATGTGATGAGCACAATTATTTGTTCTGTGTCTGGGTGTAATTTATTTACAATATGTATGTATCTAAAAATATTGAAGTAAGTTTATCATTACTCTGGTTACCATTATAAATGATGACCGGATGGCGTAGTGGTTTGTGTAACGGACTGCTATTCCAAAGGTCGCGGGTTCGACTCCCGCTCAAATCGAACATTTGTGTGCATGAACATTTAATGTTTGATTTGGTCTGGGTGTTTCTATGTATAATAAGTATGTATTTACAAAAAAAAGTATATATGTATTTATATCAGTTGTCTAGTACCCATAGTACAAGCTCCGCTTAGTTTGGGACTAGATGGCGTTGTGTCAATGTGGTAGAATATTAGTATATTAGTATTAGTATAATGAATTCAGTTCGTTTCACTTTCTTGTATATAAAGTAAATGTTCCAGTTATCCAGGTATCTAGTAATGAAGTACCTATAAATGTTTTACAGTCTTAAAATTAAGTGTATTTTAATCGACTTTAAAAGAGAGAGGTTCGTAATTAATACCGTGCAAAGACCATTAAAAAACTGTGCAGACGTAAGTTTAACTAATGCAGACAATGGTTTATTAAATCTCAGGAAGTTATTCTTGAAGGATTTTTTTTTGTATTATTTTGCTATATTATTTCCCCATACATTCAATTCAAATATGTAAATTTGCCAATCCAAAATTTTAGAGTAATTAAATTTGGATACATGCATACATAACTTTTTTCAGAAATTAGCAACAAAGCAAGATAAAAATCTGAGGAAACTGTTGTTACGAACCAAAAATGATTATGGTTCGTAACAACAATTTCCTCAGATTTTCTGAAGTGATAAACTGACTTCTTTGTGCAGATACAAAGTAATAAATTATAAACAACAATTAGTAATTATTTAATCTATTTCATATGAAATCGACGAAAAATGTATTTTCAGCAGCAAAGCAGGTATGATATAGTATTAATGAAAACGGAAGGCAGTATTATCTTTCAATAAGACATCAATCTTAATACATCAAAAGTTGCTCATGTAGGTATAATATGTTCTCGTATTGGCGGATAACATATTTGTGTTATTACCAAGTATATTTACGAGGGGGGGGAATCTTACTTTCTTTATTTTAAGTTTTTTCAAATTTAAATAGAAATGAAACCTTTTTTTTACCATTCACTGTTAATAACAATGTTTAATTAAGTAATTTTAAATTCAATTTCAATTTGAATTCTTCCGTCTTATTTTCTTTTACTAATATCAAAACCGTGCTTATTGGAGTCTTTCAGAAAGTATTATATTAAGAAGGAAAAAGGCTTGTTGATTTTAAGTAAATGTCAATTAAAATATCCTAATATATGTATTTATATGTATTTATTTTATTATATAATTTGTAAATGTTTTGCAATATATTTTTATCTAATAATGTAATGTAATGTATGTAATCAATTACTTTCGTTATTCACTTTTTATCGATATCTAATGCTGAAAGAAATTGCTTTTTAGCGATAATTCCGCCATTTGCATATAAAAATTAATTTCATGTACTCTTGTAATTATGATGTACTAAACCGATATACCATAAAGTTTTTTTCTATTCTATTCTAATAGTTATAAGAAAATCTAATTTAACTGCCATAAACTCGTTCTATTAAAAGTAAAGTAAGCTACCGGCACTTGTACTAATAAATGTCAATCATTGTAATCTAGATCTTCAACTAGTTAATTTTAAGAAATAGAGTAAATTAAACGTCACATCGCACAAACTGCTGTACTCCAATTATTATAACTTATCCGTAGTTTCGTTGACATAAAAATTCATATCACTTTTCTTATATATTACGTAATTGTGCAGCAGCACATGTATTAAATAAATAATTTCAGTCTTTGTAAAATTAAATCAAGTATATAATCTTTTTTTCAATGAAAACTCAAAGGCGATGAATGACATTTGAGAATATCTGTATATGACATTATTTAGATTTCGATACCTTACAATACTCGTATAACAAAAAAAAGTAAAAAATACTTGAAAATCAAATTAATATTGTTATACTTGTGTTGCGCCTTAATTTTTGGTTCTTAAATATAAAACTGAGGTTTTAAAAACCAAGTTCCAAAAATATTTCCTGTGAAATACTGTCTCAAGCAGAATTTCGCTTATGCCATAAGCAGAATTTCGCTTATGCCATAAGCGAAATGCTGCTTGACAGTATATCATAAAAAATATTTTTGGAATGAAGTGAAGGGGGGCTAGAGGGGGGGGGGGGGGGCCGAAAAAATTCTCACGAAAAGTTGTAACGACACTTTTTATTTTGAATTGTCACTTGTCAGTCATTCAGCGCCATCTATCGAATAGATAGAAAATCATTACTTTTCATCTCAGTAAAATTAAAATTTATGTTCTTAGGTTGAGCAAAAATTATTGTATTCGACATCATTTCTCAAGGAGATTTTACCAATGTATAAATTGTTTTAATTAGAAACCAACTGAAAAATATGTAGGTAATAGCCGCTTTCATAGATGGCGTTGTAATTAAAATCGTGTCGAATAAGTTTTACTCGATCGTCACAACTTCGTTCCTATCGGGTGTCCCACGACACCACACGGCTTTTTTTATAGTATTAATTTTTTTTTTTTTAAATATGGAATAGGGGGCAAACGAGCGGACGGGTCACCTGATAGAAAACGACTACCGCCTACTATAATTATGTGGATTGACTTTTTGAAAAATCGAGAATCGAGAATCGAATGAGCTATCGCGCATATTTTTAGGACGAGGAACGATAACACATTTTTAACTTGTTGACTAGACTAAGAGCCGTAGCCGATGGGGCTACAAACTTGAAATTTTGGCAGCTGATGCGTTTTTATGTTGTAAATACCCACTAAGTAAGATTTTTTAAATTTCTATATATCTAAGGAGGTAAATGAGGGATGAACGGATGTTTGGAAGTATGTCATTTTCAAAGGTAAAAACACGAAATAAGAAATAATAATCTGTATAATATCCACAGAATATTGCGTCTGTAACCAAAATTACCGTCGAGGTAATTGGTTTCCATACACAACTACATCGTCTACTCGTTTACGTCGTGCAATATCATGCAGGGTTGGTAATAAATCACAATAAAATGGAAGAAATATAGAGGTGGGCTGTGTTACCTGTGATTTATAAGCTACGGTAGTGAAACCTCTATATGGGAATGTTAACTTTAGATAAAAACCTTCTTTAATCTGATTTGTTATGCTTACGTAGGAGTTACTAGAAAAGATTTTGGATAACTACAAGATATATGTATGTTGAATTGCTTATTTTTCGAGTCCAAACGTAAGATAACCATTTTATTATACATTTATACACACATATTTTTATCCTACAAGTATCCTACTAAGGTATACAGCGGGGAATGCGACTGCTGTGCTGAGGTCTCGGGTTTGATGCCCGGGTCGGACCAAATATTTGTATGATCTGCAAATATTTGTTTCGTAGTTTAGTGTCTTTTAACCGCTAGTATGCCCATGTAGACTAGTGGTCTACAAAAACGAAATCCTAAAGTGCCCGTGTAGACTAGCAGTCTACAAAAATAAAAACGGAAAGTGCCCGTGTAGACTAGTAGTCTACAAAAATAAAACCGTAAAGTGCCCGTGTAGACCGGTAGTCTACATGGCTCCTGCCACAGATTAATTAGTATTTGACAGTAATTGTATTGACATAATGCTCTTTAGTAATATTTTTTCTATAGTCTGATATATTATCTATGGTATTAATCTCAGTCGAGCATGCAAACACTAGTAAAAAAAAGAATTATACGTCATAAAACTTCTGTCATTTCATCAGTCTTCGAATCGTTCCGTGCAGTGACTGTGTTGGAATTTCTTTGTGATATTATTTTGTGTGTTGGTGAAGTTTAAATGTGTGTTGGTGAAATTTAAATGAAAAGGATATTAAATGTATTATAAGGCAATGTTAATGTTATTTTTGTTTTGTTTAGTATGTAGAACAAAAAACATCTGGAAAACTAAGTTATGTTACTGAGAGCATGGGAACTGTTTCAGAAATGTTCATATTATTCAAAAGTGGTGTATGTTATCCCTATTGTTTTTGATTGTAATAAAAGAATATAAGACTACTTATATAGTTATACCTTATTTATATTCCTAACAATGATATTTGTGTACGATATGCCTTGTTAAGTCTTACATAAATTATGCCGCGTGGCGGCCGATAATGGTAAGGATTTAGAGGCCTGTAAATAAATAAATATGTATGGGAGAGTATATGGTTTTATTTCATAACATATTAACTACTATCTAAACAACATAATTAAACATTAAAAACCATAGGTCATCGCTTTCATTTTTGAACTATGAGCTTCGAAGTGCAACACGAGCTTAAAAAGACGTTATCTCAATTTCAACACAGTGTAACTCAACACCAGAGCCGTAATCTGTAAATAGAAAGATAACATTGTTTAGCTAATTTCATAGGCAACTAAATAAATATAACACTTGACACCCTTTCAATACAAACTTTAGTCACAAGAACCGATTAAGTGGAACACGGCGCGCGCGTCGATAACGCAAAAAACAGTGGGGCACTTTACGGGTGGTCGGTATTTGTGCCGGGGCAATCTAGACGGTCTCGCTCGCGAGTCGCGGGCACTCTGGACGCCGCGGGCGCCATGACAGGGGCATACGAGCGGCTATGTATAATATTATGTGAAAAAAAGGGTATAAGTATTCAACCAGTCAATCTAGCTTTCATAGTACAAGCTCTGCTTAGTTTGAAACTAGATGGCGGTGTTTGCCACCTGCCACATAATATTCCTAAATAAACATACATACAGATTTTAAATTACACCCCGACATATAAGAAATGATCATACTCATCACACAATATTTGTACCGGATGAGAATCGAACCCACGACTGCTGGCTTAGAAGTCAGGATCGTTAACCGCCAAACCAACAGGTCCGTCGTAAATTAACATGAATTTTTGTTTGAAAGAAACTCCACATACTATAGATATTATAAAATATTCAAATTAAGTTAACTAATATTCGAATCTTAGAAAAAATAGAAGAAGTATGAAACATATTTCTAGTGATACCACCTCAAACACCATGATCTTACTGATTTATTTCAGTAAAATTTTGGACACCATGCTTTGTAACCTCATTTACTAGAAGTAAAGCAAAACTTTCTCTACTTTCTAATATCAAAAATTATACAAAAAGTGCGGATTTTCGGGTTAGTTTTCGTTTTCTTGACGAAATACCTCCCTTATTTAATATATACTAGTAGCATCATATATTGCTACATTTGGTTTTTCTTCTCTTTGTTAGTATTTTAGTGCCAAGAACATAGTAATTAGTTAAATGTAAATTATATTATTACTATTTCCGTATTGGCATTGCTTTTAGTTCCCTGTTTTCAATACATTTAACTACATGATATCAAGGCATTGCGGAGGCCGTTGAATATGTATATCCAATAAAGTCTCTTGATGTAATTAATTAAGGTAACCTTCATAATTTAAGAGTAATTTTATGGCGTATCGTGAAAATGACATTGAGGAATCTTAGGTAAATAATGGAAAATAATGTTAAAACTATTTTTTGTTTTCATGTAAAATAATTCCTAATACTTAAGATTTAAGTGTCGTAGACTCAGTACTTACTTAAACTCCTTAAAGTCTAAACTTTAAAGAGTTTAAAAACTGTATTGATGTTTTTATTCTATGTTACGATTGTTGGGAACTTATTTTATTGAACAGTTACTTATTATTAGAATTTAGTAGAAAATGATTATCTGCGAGATGTTTAATAGTAACTTGCGAAAAGTATAGTAACTATTAGTAAACTTATGACAGGGAAGCTGTTATTCTTACAACGCTTACAACTAGTCGGGACGTATACAATACTTACAAATAGGCAACATCCAGAGAAGTAATTGTCATAGGTCGTCGCGTATAACAGTCGTTATCTGAAACTACCACTCCAGTAGTGTTGCCAACAGTATGTGCGAGAACACTGCTCACAAAGGACTCCACAGATTTGGCATGGCACGTACTTGGTACACACACTGCCCAGCGTAAGGTCTCACCACGACCGGTCCGGGTCTGAAAGCAAAATTGACTTCTTAAGTTAAGAGAAAAGACATTTACGGCATTAATGGCATTATACCTCTTTGGACTTAGGTAAGAAAATTGTTTCTAAATCGTAGTAACGTTTAAAAGTTTAAAGAAAGAAGCCTGTTTTGTTTACCCGATATGACGATCGCTTTCCGCTAATCGTGGTCACCGGCAAACCAGACGTAATACAATTCACCAAAATTGGGACTTTATATGTATTAGCGCGATAAAAACCCTTTGACACATTTGACATGTGCCTAAATCGCTAAAATTTTAAACACGATCTGTTTTATTTGATTCGCAACGTATCATTAATTGAATAATTTAAAATTGTGTATTACATAATTTCCTATATTATCTCAGTTTCACCTGTATTTATGGTCATTGCTCTGCTTCTAAGAATCACAGCCCAAAGTTTTATGTAGCCCATATTATTTTTCAATGACTTGAACATACTAGGTTAAAAAAAACATATTCTAATTGTTTTATTGGTTGTAAAAACGGAAAAACATGTGAAGCAACTGTACCTAAGCAAATTTTATATCCACGAAATATTGAATGTTATTTCTAACAGATTATAATTATTACAACACATATTAAGTTTGATAAACCGACTAAGTATCTACTTAATACCAAATACCAAGTCCTTAATGTTTATTCAAACTGGGTACCTTAAATTTTTATAAAATAATATTTATTTTGATGTGGTTTTTCGTTATACTTATAATTTATTGAAACAAAGTACCCATTATTTGATCAGGCTAAAACACATAGGTTAAGTGTGAAAATTAGCTATGAGTTGGTGTCATTATTTGTGTATCTGCTAATAAAACTAGAATACTAGATAGTGTTTAAGTAAAAGTCTACTTATCGCCTGTAATTCTTTTATGGGTATAAAACAAATTTGTTCATAGACGTAAGACTTTCATTTGTATGATAAAATTGACTTAGACTGAAGTTTTATATTTTAGTTATGTATGGGCCCTGGGTGAAATACGGAATAGACGTTTGGTCTCACGACCCCTGACTAGTTTCTAGCTCCAGTTATCACGCCCCTCCATAGTACTTTAAGAAATTTGTCCTTTTTATTGGAACAAATCTTACCGCAGTAACAACAAAGTTATTTAAGACTTAAGCCTTTGTGAGGTAATAGGACCTGTGATCATTTAAAACGTGTATTTTCGCTTTTTGAATAAAAAGCGAGAACACACGTTTTACTCCACAACTCTATCACGACATAGTTAAACGTTGACAGAGGATAAATAGCGTCTGAAGGTCTGCTATTGCGCCGGTTTCAGAAGCTGCTTAAGAGCCATACTAATCTTATAAAGGCGGTAATCTGGTATATTTTCGAAATATCGAATTAATTTAGCTCTCATGTCTCGACTAAACTTGTATCTGCAGTTTGTGTACAGGAATATGCATAGAATACTTATGTGAAATACAAAATAATGCATAATCACTACTACAGAAATACTGTTTATGTAGACAGTGAAGAAATATCTTTTATGGATAGAGAGTAAACGAGCAGACGGGTCAGCTGGTGGAAAGTGGCTACCGCCGCCTATGTACGCCTAGTTGCCTCAAAAGTCTCAAGAACATTAGCCACCTTTGAGGAAATGTGAAGGGGGGGGGGGGAGGGTAAAATTGCCGAAATTGTATGTGTCGAAATAGCCCACGGTCGTTAATCTACTAGGTTATTTTCTTATTTAAATTTCATCACTGCTAAAGGTTAAAAATGATTTTTACTGTTTAGAAGCTATGAAATTCTATGTGTAATAATTATAATTTATAATATTATTACCTTCTGACAATGCCATTGACAATGTCGGTGTCGATAAAATTATCTTAGGCGATCAATGGTGTCGCATACGAATTGAACTTTATGCCCACCCATATCGCTGTCGTGTTTGTATGCCATATGATACGTTTCAGAACTGCTGAGGTGGATTTCAAATATAAAATATTTTTCTTTATTTTTTAATAGATAAGGAGAATATTAATCTAACATGTAAATACATAGTATATTGCACTTTGTATATGGATTTTAATAAATTGGCAATATATTGTTATTAAAACCGTCTTTAAATGTGGTTTGAAATGTATTTCCAACCTTTTTTATTTTATTTTATTTATATATCAAGAAATCGTTCAACTAATCCGGAGTTGAGCTCTTTGGATTGACTTGAGAATAGTTCCAATTTCTGTATCTATTTTCTCCTCTGTCTCCTTCAGATGCAGTGCAACACCTGTCATACTTTATTGTAATATGATAATACCACAGAAACCGACTGAGATATAACTTATAACAAGTAGATTAAACCTTTAAAGCATAAAGTACTTAGATTGTAGTACTCTTTGCACTCCTCTTGCTTAGTGAGATATACTGCGTTTTCACGGAAGATAAAATCTAGTCTAATGACTAGGTTTGTTTATATAGCAAGAAATAACACATTTTAAATTCATCAAGTTTACCACTTGATTAACAGGTGTAACGTAATCATACGAACAGTTTATTGGAAAGCTCTTTCACTGATACAACATAACTCTAATCTACATAAAAAACATGTCTTACTTTATTTGTCTTTTGATTTTGTCTCCACTTAATAGTGGCGAGGCAGTACTGTCCCTCAATGGTCACGCCGTTGTCTCCCGGGTCTTGAATGGCCACACACTCGTCGAAGTTCCCCAGGTGATAGGATGAACCAAAGAGCAGACCTTGAGGTGACTTGGCCGATGCGTCAAACACTAGAAATAAGAATAATAACGATTAGATTAAATTTAAAATTTTACTATGATGAAAACTTTGTGAGTGTTTTCTAGTATTTTTTCATTCAATGCTACTGTAGCGACTCCCAAATACAAAGAAACAGAAACATACTACAGCACCATCTTACGAAGACACACCGAAGTACGGAGTAACTCCTGAATGAGAAAAACTAATACTGTATTTCGATATGAAGTATTCTCTCGCCGATTAGCATATATACAACTTTCCAACAGAAAGCGTTGGGTCGCGGCCCATCAGGCAAGATCACCTCGCCTGGTCGGAGTATCCTTCCTTTGTGTTGGAGGGACATGACATGAATTCTTCATATCGCGATACAGGATTTGCAATTTTCATTCAGGAGTTACTTCTTAGTTCGGTGTGTCTTCGTTAGATGATGCTGTAGTATGTTTCTGTTTCTTTGTTTATGGGAGTCGCGACAACTCTAAGACTGTAGTATCACTCCAGCAGGGGCGGCCCGTTGTGTCGAAGCATTGCTCTCCCACTTATAAGAGTGCATTTTCGGTAAAATATTTTACCAAAATAATGCAATAAAACAATCCTGAATCTGTCCATGGTCGGGCCTATCAATCTTTCTCTTTGTTATAAGACAATGGAACCCAGTCAAGTTGCGGAAAACCAGCGGTCCTTGTAATTGTCCTCACGAACTACTAATGGTTTCCCGGTAGCATTGACGATGACATGTATAGTAATTTATAACGAGGTTCCATTGGCATTTTCAAGTTTTGGCAACACAACATTCTAGTTATCATTGAAAGCGTGTGACACAATGTGTGTTTATAAAAAATATATTGTATCATAAACACACAGGAGACAAGATACAAGTGTAGTCAGAGCACTTCAGAAGTATTTAGAACAGTCTCATTTTTATATAAAGTTATGTTAATGTTACAAAACACACTATTCTTTGTAGAGAATTGTCGCACTTTGTATTACTTAAAGTATTGCAAAACAAACAACATTGTCCAAAACTTAGTTGATTCTTACGTCTAATTATTATTATGCTAATTATTATGGTTTAACAATAATAATAAAGTTATAGAATCAAAAAAATCAAAAAAGAAAAAAGAGGTTTCCTTAAAACCCTTCAACAAAAGCATCAAAAGTCTTCAATGCATTTGTGATTCTTGAATGACAAGTGTCTATTGGCATGCACTTACCACAAAGTGATATTCTCTCATGATGATTGTCTTCTGTATAGAAAATAATATAAACACTATTCTCAAGTGAATTCTATAGTTCTTCCTTAGCTGAATAGGCTGTGTTACGGAAATCTGATTGGCGTCATTAGCACAATCGCCTTATATGTAAGGTAATAAATTAGCCTTTAATAGTCCACTGCTGGACATAGGCCTCTCTTTAGAAAGGAGGTAGACGGGTTGGTATAGGATGCCAGGATAGCCGGAATCTTTAAGAATGTATATACAGTAAGACTCTGGGAGAGCACATCATGTGGTTTTAGGTAGTTAAGTCTGACATACAACCTTAGAGTTACCCGTGACGTGAAGCCTCGTAGAGGTTTCCACAGGTTAGAAAAGGTTTACATTTTTCGACGGCCTTTTTAATTTAGTGGTTATAATCCTGATTGCTAAGTCGGTCGGATTCTCTAGAGTCGCGGGTTCGATTCCCACTCAAATAATTGTGTGATGATCACGATCTTTAATTCTCTATCTGGGTCTGATTTATCTTTTATAGTTATAAATTTAGTAATATACATATATGTTTATCAGTCGTCTAGTTATCATAGTACACCCTCTGTCTAGTTTGGAATCAAACGGCCGTGTGTGAAATGTGTGAGGTTATTATTATTATTTTAAAGTAAACGTAGTATTAACCTAAAACAATATGCTAGCTTGCTTAATTTCATCATGAGTTTAGGTCAATAACAGATACAAATGACTGCTATTTATTATTATGCATGATAGCATATAATACCATAGTTCTCTCATAGTCCGCTTTGCACTATCTGATTTCGTAACCAAAAAAAAAATATTATTGCTCGATATACATTTTGCAAGTTGTAAATTTACATAAGACGTACGCGTTGCAATTAACACGAAGTATAAAAATATTAGCTGAGTGCACGGATGGCGTAATGAGTAGTAGAGTGTTGTAGGTTCGATCCCCACGTGGGACAACTCTTGGTGTTATGCACAAATTGTTGATCTGAGGCTCCATGTTCTTCCATATTCGTAGGATATATTCCTTAGGGAGGTGTTCTTTTAAATTCCGTATGAATGAATGGATTCCTCAAGTACTGATATGGACATTTATGTACATGACATAAGTTACTAATTTTGAAGATACGATTGTGTATACAGTGTGTGGTACGATTCGATGTTGTATTGAATTAGGAGTGAGCTCACACATTAATGCAAATAAACTGAAATTGTTTTTAATAAAGACATTTATCAAATATGGCATTTCGATTCTCCTTATAGGTATGTATATATTATTTTTGGTATCACATAGACAATTTATGCACTAAGGTGATTGCACTTTCTAACTTGACTTGTTCAATATCTCCTAGAAAATATTCTTAAAAAAAGAACTGTTATTACATTGTAGATCACAAACATACTATCATATAATTTACTATCGTCATAATAAAACATTATAAACACATTTGACAGAAATGATATTTTACTTTATGATGTGTGTGTTGGTTTATGCGTCAAATACAAATCCATATTTAACATATGAGAACCATATTTATCACTACTACGTATTAATGCGAACAATTCTTATACAGGTATAAATTAATTGATAATTAACACTATTCAAGTAACAGAAGCTGCTAAACAGATTTTACATAAACGTTAAAATACAATATTGTCAACATGAAGGCCGGCAGAGGTCGATTACTTAGAACAAGTAGGTAAATATTACAAGTTGGGCGACTATTACTCTAAGACATGCTTACTTAGCCGTGTAGCTTTATCTCTAGATTCTCATACTCTAACTCATAATAAAAATATATCGACTAACAATAACGCAAAAATGTAATAAAATTGGGATAGGGGTAGGCATCTGATGATGATGATGAATACCACAAAGTGGATCACTTGCAAGTGCGTAAGTAATTTATTTAGATAGATACATAATAATTAAACGTTTTAAAAAGGGATTATACAGTTTTCCTTGTTACGTAGATACCCACAAACAATCATAGTTCTTATTACAGTTTTAAATACTATGTTGAATTAATGTACATATTAAAAACCCTACGTTCTTTTTACAATCTTACAAAGTAATCCACTCTCAAGTAATTAATCAATAACCTTTTTATTCATACAAACATTCTTTAACATACAACCTTAAAATAGATTTGGATAGGATGACGATAAATAAGCAAACTTCAATAATTGGTGTGTACCGTGATTACCTTAAGATTCTGAATACTTCGCGGATGAAGCAATAGTTATTTATAATGTTGTCAGATCAATTATTTTAGCGGACAAAAAATTGTTTTGTTGTCCCAAGTCTTATTGGTGTCAGTGTTTAGAACGACTATGAAGTACCCCACCGGAATCGAAGTCATGCCTAATGCAGGTGTTGTCTTTTCAAAGAGTAAAGGAGAGAAAGAGATTCACAACTTATAGCACGAAATCAAATCAATGAAAATAATATGATTAAATATTTTTTCCTGTGCTTATAGGACGACATTATTTGATACTAAATCTAGTCAAGTAAAAGTTGATAAACTGTTTTAATTTAACAGAAGCTGACCAATTCGAATTTCAAATCCATTTCTATCTATCGCTGTTCAATTCTAAAACTAGTTACTTTGTGATACCAGTGCATCATAGACAAGAACACATATAATTATATAACAAAAATAGTGACATCGACAAAATAAAGATAAAAGTCTATGGTATTAATAAAAATACTTGGCCCAAAGAAAACAGCCAGGTACTCACCGTTACTTAGTTCATTTTTCACATTTTTAAACACTTCAAAATGTTGATTTACGAATGTACAACATAATAACTGTATTACCTGCAGCTGCTGTTTAATACTACATAAAAGAAATTCAAAAGGATCATTAAAATAAGTAAATACTTTATTTATTTGGCAATTCAACAGTAATGTTTAATTTAGTTACCTATATTGGGTATATTGTGCAGAATGAGAAGTATTCAAAAAGATAGCAATCTACAAAAACAATCTTGATTTGGATTCGAGCAGTTTTGAGGCAGTTAATATTCTTAAAGTTAGCGCACGGATGCATAACGAAACCTAGATTTCTGAATGCCTTACTGGTAATAGTGTCTATATGGCAAGATAAAAGCATTTTAGAATCAAACACTATCCTCAGGTCTCTTACATGATCTACCCTAGCGATAACATTATCACCGAATTTGTATGTGTACTTGATAGGACTTCTACGACGACTAAAAACTTCTGAACTGACATTTATCAATGTTAACAGTAATATTATTGCGTTTATAATACGAGAATAATGCGTCCAGATCTCGTTGCACCCACTCGCAGTCAAGTCCAAATTTCATTTTTATATATATCTTTATATCATTAGCATACATTAGATGCCTCGAATTAGTAAAACACTTGTCTATGTCATATAACTAAGCACTATAGAAAAGAGGCCCGAGGTAAGACCCCTGCGGTACTCCAGAGGGGATATTTACTGAGTATTGACTGCCGCCTCACTTTGACTTGACGTACGTCCAAAAAACTTTTGAGTTGCGTTTTGTATTAGTTTCAACTTTAGCTATAAAAATACGAAATCATTTTTTCTGTTCGCGGTGTTGTCTATCACGAAGAATAGCGAACTCTACATAGTAATGGGGATTACCAATTTTTTTCCATGTTTTGTGAAGTTTATGTTTCTCTTTAATTGTCCATGTAGGATGTAGGATACTGACAATTGTTGTATTTTTTTACTAAAGGAACAAACATTTAAAAACTGTCGTTTAGTATTTTAAATTTGGTTACGGCA